TGCCCTCCCACCAAACCCCCCAATACCCCCTCATTTCCCCAGGGAGGGTGAGGCCCTCCATGGGGGTGTCCATAGTCTGTCATTTCATCCAGTTCATGGCCTAGACCCTCCCCCACATATATTTCTTTCTAAATTGCCATTTGCTAAGATGAAGAAACCTGTGAAGAAGTAAAGGGTGTGGCATCAGAAATGCATTCTGGGTCCTGAGGAGATGCTGGGTAGGCCTCTCTGCATGTCTGGAGTTGAAGAAAGAAGGCCTGTATTACAAATGTCTTCTTAGGAGTCAGCTGGGCTAGCAGTTAAAGCTCTGAGGCTGGATGGGGTCGTGTGGGGATTAGGCAGACTGGAGATCTGAGGCAGACAGGGAGATAACAGTGGAAAAGAGAAGGCAGGGTACCAGCTGTGGAAACAAGAGCTGCAGCCAGGACACCTGGCCTAAGTGGGAGCTCCCTAGATGTAGGCATGAGTCGTTTCCCAGGCTTCTTCTCCCTTTTGAGTTTGATGCTGGGGAAGTGTGTGAGGCTGTGTGTGCACGTGTGTAGACATTACATGTCACACATGACTGGTGCTATAGAGGTTGCAGTATCTCCTCTGTGAGTCCTCTTTCTTTCAGATGAGAAAATAGGGGCTTAAAGGTCAGGTGATCTAAACAAGGTTCTCTCAGTGACAGGGGCTGGGAGAAGGGATCCAGGTCTCTAAGCTGCTACTGAGTCCTTAGTTCTCATTGCTCCTGAGGACCCACTATGACAGGGTCACATAGAGATGACCTGAAGTGAGCTTTATGTTTTGTTTCTTTTTTTTTAACTTGTGTATTAATGTGAGCAAACATTCATGTGTACTTCAGTTCAGGCTTGCATGTGGAGGTCAGGGGATAACCGTGGGTACCAGTCCTTGCCTTCCGCTGTGTTTACTTGCCACTGGGAACACCAGGCTACCTGGCTTCTGTAGATTCTCATGCTTTCTGCTCCCCACCCCCCAGAGAGCACTGAGATTGCAGGCACAGGGGATCTGAACTCAGGTCCTCAAGCTCATGTGGTCAGCAGTCTACCTACAGAGCCATGGCCCCAGGGCAGAGTTTTACAGCTTTATGTCCAAAGGAGTAGAGTCTGCTGGTAGGATGATTCCCTGAAGGAGTCTAGGCCATCCCTGTGAGATGAACAGCTATCTCTGAGGAACAGCCCCCCATGGAAACAGGAGGCTGTACTGGGGGGATTTTCAGCCTGGGAAGGGACACCCATCAATTCATCTTAAGGGTTAGTAAGTCATTTTAGAGCCTGTTCAGGTTCTTGTTGGCCTCTTCCACTCACTCTGCCAAATAACTGGTTTCATCTTAGCGTCTTGCTAGAAGCACTATATCCTCTCCAAGCTTATTTTCCTGCCTCGCAGAAGTTGCTTCTGAGCTCAGAGGCCCCACCGGTCAAGCTTAGCCTTGCCCTGGGCAGAGATAAACAGGCCCAGAATCCATTTCTCAGATTGCAACACTGGTGAGTCAGGCAGGGTCGGACAGCTGCTCCCTCCCAGGCGCCCCTTGGCTGTACCTGATAAGGAAGCACATCGCTCATTCCAGGGCACCGTCTTGCGAGTGTACAAGTATAAACAGACACTCCCAGGCCCTGGTGTTGTCTTAGAGTAAATTATTGACATTCTGAACAGCCGAAACACGGGGAAAAGGTGAAAGCAAACCTAACAGATCCAGTGCTATCTTCAGTTTTCTTTAACTAAGCCTTGGGAAAGTTTTTGAACTTTCGCAGTCAAGGGCAGGCTCAGGAGTTCCCTGAAGCTCTGGAAATAGGAAGGAAGGGCAGACTAGGGGAGGCGCATTGATGAAAAAACAAATGGCAAATTACACAGAGAGAAACGTGTGCATGCTTTTGACACAGAGGGGGACAGTGGATGTTGTAGCATCCTCAAAAACAAGCAAACAAAACCAATTTTCCCAAATCAAATGACCTCCTATAAATGGTAAGTAAGCTGTCGGGAAGAGTGGGGTGCTGAGGGTATGGTAATAGTCACGTAAGACCAGAACCAGTACCATAGTAAACCTGGCCATCAGTATTTCCCATTCCCTCTATGGCAGCGTTTCATAGCTTCTAGGTCCTCGGATCTAAGGCCTCACACTGGTCTTTTCCACTGACTACTTAAGCAGGGTAGGGCATCAGAGCCCATACAGTATAGATGAGAAAATTTGAGACTCAGTGAGGATATAAGCAACTTACTGAGGCATAATTAAGAGCAGGGAGGGGCAGATTTGTCCTAAGTAAGCAAGAGTTAAAGTGCTTCTGAGGCCGAGGCGATGGCTCCTCAGTTAAGAACAGGTGCAGCTCTTGAGCAGGCTCTAAGTTTGGCTCTCAGTGGCTCACAACCGACTGTATCATCAGTGCCAGGTAATCTGACTCTCTCTTCGGACCCCCAGGGGCACCAGGTCCATGGTGTACATTCATTCATGCAGGCAAACACTTATATACATTAAACAGAAATAATTACATCTTTTTTTTTTTTTTTGAGACAGGGTTTCTCTGTGGCTTTGGAAGCTGTCCCGGAACTAGCTCTTGTAGACCAGGTTGGTTTCAAATTCACAGAGATCCACCTGCCTCTGCCTCCCGAGTGCTGGGATTAAAGGCATGTGCCACCACCGCCCAGCAATAGTTACATCTTTAAAAAATAAAACAAGCCGGGCGGTGGTGGCACACGCCTTTAATCCCAGCACTCAGGAGGCAGAGGCAGGCAGATCTTTGTGAGTTCGAGGCCGGGCTGGACCGATAGCCTCCGAAACAATACAGAGAAACCCTGTCTCGTAAAAACCAAAATAAATAAATAAGTAAATAAATAAAAAATAAAACAAAACACTTCCTAGCAACATCATGACTCTCCTTTAGGATGTTTCCTTTGCTAAGACTGCTTGAAGGCTAACACTGGCTTTCATGTGGAGAGCGCAGCCTCGCCACCATCAGTGTGGCCTGCAAGTTGTCAGTGAAGAGGAAATTACCAGGTAGAGTTTCTAGGTCCCCACTCCCGGCATAAAGGACTTTTTAATAATTGCACTTAAGGCCGGGTGTTGGTGGCGCACGCCTTTAATCCCAGCACTTGGGAGGCAGAGGCAGGTGGATCTCTGTAAGCTCGAGACCAGCCTGGACTACCAAGCGAGTTCCAGGACAGCCTCCAAAGCCACAGAGAAACCCTGTCTCGAAAAAAACAAAAAAAACAAAAAACAAAAAAAAAGCAAGGGGTGGTCACATATTGGAATATCGAGGGCAGAGGTTCTCTGACTTTGGCCAACATCAGAACCATCTGGGGTGCTTGTTAAAGACAAGGATATTCAGGTTTCCCCCTGGACCTTTTGAATCAGAATTCTCAGGGGCAGTTCCTGGACACTTGTGAGCATAACAAGCTCTCCAGGTGGTTCTGAAGTATTGGGCGGAGCTTGAAAACCACTGTCTTAGCACAGGGGTGGAAGTTAACCTGGTCAAGGAGGGGAGGAGAGCAGGTAGAGGCAGTAACACTCTAGGGAGTCTGGTATAGACATTGAGACAGACAAATCTGGGTTTGTTTTATCCTTCCTTCAATAAGGCGATCAAATAAAGGGGGTTAGAAGTCTCTTCACAGGCATCTGCTGACAGATTTGATGTAGGACAGGGCAATGAGTTGTCCTTTCTTCCTCCAGAACATAGAATCGTGGTTACAAGGGTCACTGGAAATGGGGGCAATGATTTATCATTTAAGGGGTTCACGGTTTCTGTTGGGATTGATGAAAAGTTTCTGGAAATGAGCAGTAGTGATGGTTGCACGATAGATAAAATTTTATGTGGTTGCATTGAATATTTAAATATGGTTTAACACTGAACATTTTATGATTTATATGTTATAATTAAAAATAGCTGGCATATTGGGGGTAGAATGATAGGAGCAAGTGATGTTCAACTTTAGCCCATCGTTCTGTTCCCAGGAGTGTGTGAGTGTGTGTGTGTGTACACGTACGGTTTTTAAAAGGGACTTGTTAAAGTACATGTGTAGTCACAGGGAAAAGGCAGTAGCTAAAACTTCTGAAAATACTTGGCACTATTCTCTTTTGCCTGGTTGACTCCTTGTTTCACTGTCACTCGTTCAGCCCTAGAGCAGTATCCCTCAAACTTCACTGTAGAGGGAATCACCTGAGATCTTTGATCACCTGCAAATGCTAATGAGTAGGCCTTAGGCCAGTCTGGCGGCCTTTCTAACTAGCTCCCCTGAGATGCTGACACTCAGGCCCATTCTGAGAGGGCTGTGTAACTTTTGCCTTTATTCACGCTATGGCTTCACGGACTCTAAGCACACAGCAGCACTTAATGTTTATTAAGTGGATGAGCAAGTACACATGATTGGTTTAGGAGTTTGGAGGGCCGAGCCATCCTTGTCCTGGACTAGAGCGTCCTTAGGGAGCTTCTTTCAGTCAGGCCCATTGTGAATTCAAATTACCTCAACTTACCTCAAATTCTGTAGAACAAGGATGTTGGTACCAAGTTATTTCTGTTCTTGCTACCTGCTGCTCCTACTGCACTCCGGGAATTATTGGCCTTATGTGGAGGATTAATGAGCCCTGGTTTGCAAGCTCTGACGAAGTCTTGCTGTAGTCTACAATCCCTGCAAACCAATTCTTTCCTTAGGGAGTGCAGAGAACATGCTGGTGTGGGGATTTCCAGATTTGGACGCCAGTCTGGGTAATTGCCACTCTGGCCTCCTCCATATCCAAACAGCCCTTTGTAACGCTGTGTGAGAGGGTGGTTCATAAAGCACATGAATGTAATCATACTGCCATTATTTACTACCATCGTTCATGCTGATGGTGACGACACTGGCAGTTGAGCGATGAAGTGTGTGGGGAGGTTGGGGGAGGGGGCCGAGGGATGCAGGCGGGCAGGAGAAAGAGGAACTACATCTCCCAGAACTCCCCGGCCAAACCTACCCCGCGACGACGCCCCGCCCCTCCCACCGGCGCCCGCCCCTCAGATGACGTCACAGAGGTGACATCACGGCGCCTAGAGGGAGGCTAGGTTAGAGAGGCCGACCGAGCTGGAGTCGTCGGCTTGTGGAGGAAGCAGCTGGGAGCTGGCGAGAGCGTGAGCGGGCGGGCAGGCGAACGAGCGAGCGCAGGCCGGGGCGGGGGGAGCGGCGCACGGCGCGGAGCAGCGTCTGCCCGGGCCGCGGCGGAGCCTCTGCCGGAGGGCAGCCCGAGCGGGCGCCTGGGTCCCCGCCCCCACTCGGCGGGGCAGTGCCCGGTGTTCCCCCGTGCGGGGGCGGCGGCGGCGGCGGCGGCGGCTGAGCGGACCCCACGGGACCGCGCGGGTGTTGCCACCTCGGCCGAGAAGCCGGCGCGGCCGCGGGGCCCTGCGAGCTGGGCCCGGGGCCCGTGACAGACGGGCCAAGGAGGGGAGAGAGGCGGCGGCGGCGGCGGCGCAGGCGACGGGGAGACAGCGGCGGCGGCGGCGACACCATGTCATCCCCCAGTCCCGGCAAGAGGCGGATGGACACGGACGTAGTCAAGCTGTATCCTTCATGGAGGGGAATTCGGACTGCGTGTGGGGCGGGTGGGGGTGCCGAGGCGAGGGCTTCGGGGCACTCCAGGCCACTGGCCGCGCCTCCCCTCCCTCCCTCCCCGCCTCGGTGCCTACGGCGGCCCCTTAGCACCTCCCCGGAGCCCGGGGCTTTCTCAGTCCCCCTTTATCTGCAGCCCCCCGAGATGTGCGTTGCTCCTCGCTCTCGCTGCACCCCCCCGGAGCCCGTGACTTTTCCTCCCCGACGTTTGGATTCCTGAGACGGCCCTTTCGGGGGGGGGGCATAACTAGCCGCCTCCTTCGTCACCGGGAGCTCATCTTCAGGGTCTTTGCTTCCTGTTTGCTAGCTTTGGATTTATGGACTCGTGATAGAAATTTCCTGAGAGGGAAGCCTTTCTTCTTCTTTTTCTTCTTTTTTTTTTTAGGTGTTCGAGTACCTTCCACTCACAGTGCTGCTTAAACTGGGGTAGCTCAATCGACCTCCTTTATCCCTAATTCCTTTCTATATTAGGAAGAGAGTAGTCTGCTCGGGGCCCCTCTTGTAATAAAGAGCTCCGTGTGTTTTAAATCAGACACTCTGCTAAGCCTTGTAGTCTGGAGAACGTTCCTGTTTTTCTTTCTACTGACAAAGCCTATCCCACTCATAGGGCGAGCAGTGAGGACCCCCAGGCCCTCAGCGGGCAGGCTACCCTCCATATTGTGGATCTGACAGCTGGGGAGGAAGGAAAGAGAAGCTCCTGAACAAAATAGCTCCTGAACAAAATAGCCCCTGTGCTAGCCCTTGAGCAGAACTCCCTCTGAGAGAGTACGGCTCTTGGGGACTGCTTACTCTGACCTGGGCCAAGTGACATTTTTTATTTTCCACCCCCCCAACTTTATTTTCACCCGAGGTTGCAGAGGGAGAGCTGTAACTGATAAGTCTTCCAGGCAGTGGTTTTGGTTGGAATCCAGACTGATTATTTCATGACCAGCTAGAAATTTGCGAAGGTTCCTGAAACAAATGAGTATTTAAAAAATGATTTTTATGTTTTGAGGGCTAATGGGGGGCGGTGAGAGCCTGGTGTTCTAAATAGCTAATCCCTTGGGAGAAGGTGAAAGGCTGTTAAAAAGTCCTGTCTCTGGTTTCTCTTTCTGCCTCGACCCCATCCCCCACCGTTTCCCCCTGTTGCAGGATTTTGTTTATATAACTCAAGTTGTTTGGCTAGATTCTTCAGGTGAATTCCTTTTATTTATCGATGTTTTTGATTGTTTTACCTTTTCTGTCGATCAGTGGTGGTTGTCAAGAACTGTTAGGGGATTTGCTGAAGTTTTTAAAAGTAGTTTTTGGATAGGATTTTAATTTGGGGTATGGGAGGGGAAGTTGCCTAGATTAGTTTTTTGTTTTTTGTTTTTATTATCTTATTTTTTTTTGTCCAATCCGTTTTTTCAGGAATAAGCATGCTTTTCTCCTCGACCAGGGGAGATCTGGCTAAAAATTAAGAATAGTGTGTAAACTCGGAAGTTTAGGGTTTAGGGAAAGAGTAGTTAGTAGAACAGTCAGTAATAAAGGATAATATGCCAGATACACACCTAGACACAAGTGAAGTCAACTCTTTACGAGCTGTTTGTAGCAGTGATTGCTTTTTAAATATGTCAATGGTACCAGGAATGCTGGCTTTTCATAAGACCGCAGGAAAACTTGTAACTATGGCTGTGTGTACATTTACACAAAGCAGCTTGAGGCTGTATTTTTGTTTAGAAACTAGGAAATGACATGGTGGTAGACTAAGGAGTTATTTTTGTCTTGAATTGAGAGTTACTGTCACACCTAATGTAAATTTCATTGGGACCGTGGGGGGGGGTTCCAGCTGTTTTTGATGGATGTCAGTTCCTCAGATTACATTCATACACAGATTTCTAAAAGATTGAGGCTGAAGATCGAGGCCTAACTTGACCTGAGGCCTTTTCCATACAGGCCTTTTGTTCATGTAGTAGTTGTGGCATCTAGAATGATTACCGCACTTAGGAGTGCGGGTGTGGGGGGTGTGCGGGAGAGGAAACAAAGAACAGCAGGGTGTCTCTTTCCCCGCTCTCTGAGTGGTTATTTCAGAGCTTATTTTTAGTAGAAGATGAAGAAAGGCGAAGATGCCTTGGCTTCTGTTCTTTCCCACCTTCCCTTTCCCGACAAAAGAAAATCCAGGGCTCTTCAAAATAGTAACTTTCTGAGATAAGACGATTACAGTTTTGATTGGAAAGCTAGAGGTTATCTCTGCTTCGAGTTTATTTTCTGGTTTAATGTAGTTTGGAAGTTAAAAATTGTCGGATTTCCTTTTGTGTGTTGGTGTGTATTGTGGAGGATTTTATGGCCTCCTTTCTCAGTTGAATTCTCAACTGAAGGCCCAAGTAGAGTTTACAATTTCTGGGTAAGGTATACTAAGCGGAAATTTAAAGAGCAAATTCCCCAGCCTCCTGCTAAGATGAGTAGTAAAATTGCGTGTCAGTGTCGAGAGTTAAAAATGAAAGACGGTGGTAAGGAAGTGAAGCAAAGGTCTAAAGGAATGTCTAGCACTTCAAGTCCCTTGTCCTGGATGATTTCTCTGGTGTGAGGCTGATGGACGGTTTCATCGAAGTCTCCTGCTTCAGCCCATTTTTGGCTGTCTCTGGGCGTAATTGTACCACAAGGATTTACAGCCTGGCAGGAAACCTATGAAGTAGGAAAGTAGCGGTGTGGGGGTAGGGAGGGACGAGGACATGTGACTAATTGGTCAACGCTTTCCACCACCTTGCTAGACACCATCTCTCCGGAGTCTGATTATTTCTTTTGTGACCGGTTGGTAGGATAGCTGACTTCCAAGTTATGCAGGGAGTGTTTTGCACCAGTGCATTTAATCTGCTGGGCGATTATGTTCTGAAACTCTGACTCATTCATTGTTTCTCTTCTGTGCCTCAGCTGAACGTTGTGCAAACCTCCACAGGAGCCGAGAAACTGATTTACATGACTTTTGGGCGCTGTGGCATCAAAACACTTGTCCTTAGCCTAGGTCCGGTGGAACGGGCTTGGATAGTGCAGCCATTTGCTTGCTAGAGTCAGGTAGATTACCAGCCTGAGAGCACAGGATCACCAGCCTTTGATGTTTCCACCGGCAACCACTGATTATTTAGATTGTCTGAGACCTGGGACTCTGGTGACCTTAAGCGTGATTGCCCTAAAGGAATATTGGTTGAAGTTCTCCCTGGTGGAGGAACAAACAGCTCAGGTTACATGGGCTTCCTTGTTGGTGGGGGTGACTGTCTCAATCGCCCAGTTGCACAGCCCTGGTGAGCCTTTTATCTGTGAACCAGTGCCCCTGCTGAAGGCTAGGGCTGCTTGTTTTGGAAAAGCGTATGCAGGCAAAAGGCCGCAGGCACAGCTCCTTGCAGCTCATTGGCTGCTCTGTTACTACCCGGAAAAGGAGGAGGGGTGGAGCTACCAAACAGCTGATGGGAGTGTGTGACAAGAGTGTGTTTACATACAAAAGAGGTGGGGGCTGGGGAGGCCCTGTGAGCTGCTGACAAGACCAAGTGTATTTTCAAGGGATTAAAAAAAAACCCCAACAACAAAAAGACCCTGAACTCTTAGATTCAAGAAATGTTCAGGAAATTAAACCAGAAAACTGAATCTGATCATAATGAGGGCTTGGCTCACCCTGCTATTGCTGTAATATTTGCAAATTTAAGAATGCCATGAGTTTTCAGAGATTGTCTTTTCCAGAAGGATCTCAGTACAGACAGGATGTGCTGGATTAAATAAAGGTGTGGTGGAAATGGACCTCCAAATCTGAAAACCTGGGGATTCACAGGAATTTTCTGCACCAAGTTTAAACTCTTAAATATTTGTCCCCCTCTTTGTGTCAGGCACTGTGTGGAGGAATTAGTGAAAAGATAGTGTGGTGGACACACAATTAGTTATTACATTGTTCTTCCAAGCCACGATGGGTAGCATGTTAGTCAGCACTGTATGTTATCATCTTACTTTTTTAGAATACTTTGTATTTTTAAAATTGGCTTTTTTCCCTCCTTTTTTTGCCAGGCTTGAGGCTATGGCAGGTGGATCTCTGAGGTCAAGGTCAGCTAGGGCTGTCTCAAACAACACAACCTGAATTGTTATTTTTTTTTTTTAAGAAATTGAAAAGTCGGCTGGCCGTTGGTGGCTCACGCCTTTAATCCCAGCACTCGGGAGGCAGAGGCAGGCAGATCTCTGTGAGTTCGAGGCCAGCCTGGTCTACAAAGTGAGTTCCAGGACAGCCTCCAAAGCCACAGAGAAACCCTGTCTCAAAAACCAAAAAAAGAAAAAAAAAAAGGAAAAAGAATTGAAAAGTTAAAAATAACTTTATGTGGTGGGGATATATATGGACATCTAAGTGCCCTGTTTTCTATTTATTTTATGAACATTGGGACCAGAGCCACAGACAGTGGTGGAGCTGCCATGTGGGTGCTGGGAGTTGAACCCAGGTCTTCTGGAAGAGCAGCCAGTGCTCTTAGCCTCTGAGCCTTCTCTCCAGCCCCCACCTTTTTTTTTTTAAAGTGGGTATTAGAACAAAAGCAAGCATGAAATGTGGAACCATTTATCACTGACTTTTTGGAGTTTTTGCTGCTCATCAGCAGTTATTCTATCCCCAAGTTAGCTGTTGTTACTGTTTAATTTGTGTTCAAAGTGTGGACAGTCTTTTAACTAGTCTTAGTGTCCATTGACAACCTGTGGTTGACCTCTCATTTCCTGAGGCCTCTCAGTGGGTTGGTGAAATGGAAGCTAGAACAGTTTTATAGTCTTAAAGCTAAGAGTTAAAGATTTGGCAATTCCTAGTATTTTGAATTTGTCTTCAACAAGCAGGTTATGATAGCACTTCGGTAAAGCAGGAATCTGGTGAGTTTGCAGTGAAGTTGTGGTGAATTACAAACAGGTCTAAAAGTTAAGCTCTTAGAAGGAAAAAATCTTGCTGGGCGTTGGTGGCACACGCCTTTAATCTCAGCACT